CCTAAACCCTAAACCCTAAACCCCGAGCCCGCGGAACCCTGAAAGCCTGAGGTTCACCTTTCGGTTCAGGGTTTTAAGGTTTGGGGTTAGGGTTTAAGGTTTAGGGTTTAGGGTTCAGGGTTTAAGGTTTGGGGTTTGGGGTTTAGGGTTCAGGGTTCCCCATGCCCTGGAGCCGCAAATGGATTCACTGCTCGGGTCGGCGCTGGGGTTTTGGTGATTTCCGGCGTGGTGTTCGGCTTGAACGCCGGAATCCAAACATTCCCCTGAACCCCTAAACCCTAAACCGACCCCTAAACCCCTAAGCCCTAAACCCCTAAACCCTAAACCCCTAAACCCTAAACCCCTTAACCCCTAAACCCCTAAACCCTAAACCCCTATACCCTAAAGCCCTAAACCCTAAACCCCTAAAGCCCTCAACCCGCAGGCTCACTCTGGATCCTTCCACGCCGAAGGTGCCCGGGCTTTGTGGTTGTAGGGCGTTCCGAGAGTAAGTCCGTGGCTCAAGTCAAGATCATGACTTTATAGGGTTTAGGGTTAAGTTTAGGGAATGCTCATAATATAGGAATCATCGCCCCGTCCTTGGACAGGCAAACCATTCCCTTTGCAAAGGGCGATGGGGTACGAACTAGGGTCGGGCTTGCGTCAGCCCATGCACTAGGATCTACTCCAACATGCAAAGTCTATTCGAGGACTAAAGCCTTTTTGTGAGGACCGCTGACAATTCGGGCTGTCAGGTGCAGGAACCTCTTGGAAATGGAGGGCTCTTGACAACTTCTCTACTGTAGAACTTCCATGTTACAGCAGTTCTGAAAATCCAAGGGATTATAAAACGTAGTATGTTGATTACGGTTCCAAGGGCGCTGACGTGTAAACCGTAGACACTGTACCCTAAGTCCTGAGTCGGATTTAGGGACCCGTAAAGTTGAGAAACTCCATGTGGGTTTGCGGAAGAGAAATGTCGCTGTGATTTGGATCCTCGATTGAAGACTCCAGGTTCTTATGCATGGGGGTTTCCGAAAATAGGGGACCCTAATATAGTACCCTAAATAGTAGGATCCTTATTATAAGGACCCCAAAATAAGGTACCCCCAATTTTCGGAAACCCTCAAATCTGCTGTGTCCTTAAACCCGAGATCCCAAAACCCCCAGGATCTGCAATGTTTCAGCGAATGAGGAGCCATGGAAGCCCGCCCGTTGAACTCCGACTGGGAGGTTCTCTAGGTTAGGGTGCCTTCTAAAATCCTTAGATCTCACAAGGCACTTTTGGTGATCACTATTTTGTAAATGTATTATCATTATCATTATTATCAGTACGAGTGATGTTAGCATTGTTAGTCAGTTAGTCGTGTTAGTAGTGTTGTACTTCGAGATTGCTCCTTGAGAGGCTGGGATGTCGGCATGCTGACTGTGCTGTTCAGCCTCTCGGCGACCCAGATGGTGGGGTTTAGGGTTTAGGGTTTAGGGCAAGGTCTGGATTCATTTCAAGCAGACCAGAAGCGACCTCGCACGTGTCTTTGTCCTGAGACCCTAGCTACGTCAGCTACAGGCAGGTGAGGTGTGATCAACGAGTTTTGGGCTATCTTTACAAAGTGGCGCTTAGGACACACCTTGCCGTCCTACTATTGTGCGTGCAAAGTTTTGACTTGACTTGCATCGCTAGGTTCCAGAATTCTGAATACAAGTCAAAACCCTGATGGCCCTGACGTTGTTTCTTGGCAATTAAACTTCTCTGCCGTTTTGGGCACAAACAACACCAGGCTTCCTTCAACATCAGCGTCACCACCCCCAGCGCCAGCACCAGCACCACCATCACCACCATCACCACCACGACCCCTACCATCACCAGCATATCAGCCTCATCAGCGGCCATGAACCGACATCATCAACATCATCATCGCCATCATCAGTGTGGCACTGAAAATCAGAAATTGCGACAGGCGAGGCATGGTCCGTGCTGGTTACAGTCAGTCTTGCCCGTGCTATCTAACATTGAAGCCTGCAATACTACAGTATCCTCTTATCATCTGCACGAAACACAATTCATTCTAATCATAAAGACCCCAAGTTATGACCAACACCCAATTCATTCTAATGATAAAGACCCCAAGTTTTGACCAACACCCAACTCATTCTAATATATTCTAATTTTAAAGAGCCCAAGTTTTGACGATCTTCAGAATCTTCAGCTTCCAGGCTCCACCGGGCAAGAGCTCAAGCGCTTCCCGCAGGGCGAGGGGGTGGCAATTTCCGTCGAGGCGGTTTAGGGTTTAAGGGCGAAGCGGGCAATATAGCTAGTATCCCAGTAGCCCTAAGGGTCCAAATACCTAATAATCATATACTCTCCCAAATAGTAACCTACATAACTACTATCCGAAACCTTAGTACCTGATCATTGGGTCCTTTGGACCCTTGGGGTAGTATCTAGAAGAGCAATTAATATGGGCTAACTGTTATGGATTTGGTCTTGTTGTCGGAAGCTAGATCGAGGGCGCCCAGGTATCCGGCACTTGGATTCAGGTTGATTCGCTTAAGGGCTGTAGGGCTTGACATGTCCGTCAAGGATACTTTCGCGGCCCAAATCATTACCAATACTATTTTGGAAGTTCCTTGTTATAAGTTTCGTCTAATATACACCAGAAAGCCGGTTCTGATTATTGAGCAGTCGTGCTACGATTGATGATATGAATCCTACGTTACCCAAACAAGGAATATGCCATAATTGCCATGGTTTAGGGTCCTTAAGGTAATGCAGTTTATTTATATCATCAGCAGTATCACACGTTTATACCGTCAGAATTGCAGAGAGACATGAAGATTCCCAGAGCGAGACGTCAGCTCTCGCAGTGTCGAGTTGAATCTTGAGGCACTCAAAGTCAGCGGCAGCTGCCCAAATGTGTTCTACAGGTACCGGCACTCTGCAATGACAACATCCCGCAGAGTCTGTCCGACGACACCGAAGCCACAAAACCGAAAGCAGTAAACTCCGAAACAGTCACCAGCCTCCAACCACCTCAAGCCCTACATCCCCCAGGATTTGCTCGGAGCTGCCTATGTCTCCGGTGATGAAGCGCTAGGCGCCTTGGGTGAGTAGAGGCTTAGAGAGAGGCTTAAAGTTTCAAGGCCGGCAAGGGATTAGGTCATCAATGGTGCGGCTTTCGAGGATGAAGCACCCTGCATCTGCTTTTGGGTTTAGGGGCTGAAGAACGCCTTTGAAGAAGTAGCAGTACTACGACTATCATGCAGCGTACACACATACACACGCAGCAAGTCTTGAAGAAAATGGACGTGCATGCCAAACTTGCTCTTTCCACAACATATAGCAACCGCGCCAGCGTTTAAGGGTGCAGGGAATAAGGTTTAGAGTAGAGTTGGTTCAGGATTCCGGAGCTACACCTCAAAACCTGATGATGTTGTGGAAGCTTAAGTGCGGTAGTCAATACCTTGGAGTTCAACCATACCACTAGAGCCAGACTTTCTGGTCATTTATGCTGGTTGCAGCTAAGCCAACAAAATGGTCTTTGAGTCTTTCTTCCCCAACTCAAGTCGGTTGTACATTGATCTAAGCGCAGATGCACCCAGAAATCAAAAAAAGGACTAGTAGAGTCCATTCATTAAAGGTCTCTCTTCGGTCAGCAGCGGAGGGCTCAGAATTCAGTTGCCCTGTGTGAAGCTTGATTTGCAATGTAGACGTAGACCCCATCATGAGCACGGCCTAACCCTAAACCCTAAAACCTGAACCACCTAAACCCCACAGCCCTAAACTCATAAACCCTAAACCCTAGACTCAGACCCTGGAACTTTAGGGTTTAGGGTTTAGGGTTTTGGGGTCGCCCCATCCAGCGGTCAGGCCTTGACGTGCCCTACACTCGCGCCGATGCAGAAGTGACGGGTGGGCGCCCGAGATGTGGCTACTAACTTTCCATCTGGTGTATCCCAACCCTAAACCCTAAACTCCCTGAGTCCTAAACCCTAAACCCTGAACCCTAAACCCTGAACCCTAAACTCCCTGAGTCCTAAACCCTGAACCCTAGACCCCTGAACCCTAAACTGCCTGAGTCCTAAACCCTAAACCCCAAACCTTAAACCCTACACCCTAAACCCTAAACCCTGAACCCTAAACCCTAGACCCTAGACCCTATAACCCTGAAGCCCTGCACCCTCATCTTCAGATCGCTGGTTGGAAGCTGTCGCGTTGGGGTGTCTGGGGGTTCAGGGTTTAGCGGCTTAGGGTTTAGGGTTTAGGGTTTAGGGATTATAGGCTTCAGGGTTTAGGGTTTAGGATGGATCCTCGCATCTGCAGCCTTTGGCCTTGTGGATCTGGGTCATAAGGTTTCCGGGCTTGTGGCTTTGAGGTTAAGTCTGTACATATGTGCGATTTCGTGCTGCGGGCCATCTGCGATTAACAGGTTCAGGTTCGTAAGGCATGGGGATCATGGGTTCATTCAGTTTGGAGGGCTACGAAACCTTAAACCTGAAACCCTAAACCCTACTGAGCCCTGAACCCTATGTCAGGGTGTGGCGTTCCATTTCGACAGCCCCAGAGTTGATCATTCTTTCAAGACCTCTGTCGCAGCTGTGAGTGCATGCTAGCCGTTCACGTCAGTCGTCTGGAACCGGTTCTATCAATCAGGTAGTTGTCTTGAGGTTTTATACTGGTCTTGTGGTGTTGGCTGCCTTTGCTGTTGACGTTTTGAACGGGTTGAGTAATGGAATCTGCATATATTCGACCCTTGATTTCTGAAATTCACAATTACAGCTTTCTCACTGTTTGGGAAACAAGAACCAAACCGTAAACTCTGAAACCCTATTACAAATAGTAACATACATAACTACTATCCGAAACCTAAGTACCTGATTACTGGGTCCTTTGGACCCTTGGGGTAAGGCCCGAAGAAACCCTAAACCTTAAACCCTAAACCCTAAACCCTGAGCCACCTAGGCTTGACACCGCGCGTGACCGGCTTGGCAGTCGGGGGCTTGCTCTGCCATGAAAAGGGGTTACTTAGGGTTTAGGGTTTAGGGGTTTTTTTTTACTTAAACAGGCTCATCGGGCCTAGTAAGTGTGTAAGGTGAAAAGCAATGTTCTAATTAGGATAACCCTACTATAAGGGCTCATGGGACTTAGTAAGTAAGGTTATAAGCAAGATTTATTGGGGCACTTTTTGCAGCAAGTATCACGCTGGTTAGTGACATCAGCATTTGGGTTCGAGGTCGCATCCAGTGAAGTTGGGTCCCCATATCATTGCGAAAAAAGGAGACATGAGGGCAAAACATGAGTCCTCGGGCATCACGCCTGAGCCCGCAGCACGAAGAGCAAAGACAACAGAGACAGAGGAGACGGAGAAGAAAGAAGAAATCCTCTCCGAGATTGACTTGTTGAATGAGAAGCTTGAGAAAATCTACCAGGAGGCAAAATCCGCAAAGGTACTGGCGTCATACTTGTTAGCTCAGCACGCCGAAGCTTCCAGAGACAAGGCGCAGAAAGAGATGGTCATACGAGGCTGGACCTTGTTTCAAGCAACCACAGATGGCACAGATAGGCAGGCCGCGCAACTGGATTTTCAATCCGATTCGCGTGAGCGCTTTATCAAGCAGGTAGCAGAGCAAGCCGGTGTGTCAAACAACTATCACAGGAATTGGATCTTTTCTCGCCAAGCATGCGGGGACAGTCTTTCGCCAATCACCGTGGCAACAGTGACACGGATGTGGCAAAGATCCAAGATGCTTGACTTCGCTAAGAAACAGCAAATTGGTTCAAGCGAGCTCAAGGAACGGCTTGTCATCAACGACCGTGAAGAAGGGACACTATCGTGGCGAAATTCGGAAAATGTGTCGACAGTGACACCAGACAGAAAGACATCAAGATTCAGCCGCAGATTTCCTTATGGGACAGATTGAAGCCATCCCGCTGAAAGCAGCTGTGGCAGTACGTAGCCAAGGACTACAGCATCATGTCCAAACTGTGATATATCGGGGCCTCAACCTTTCCACTAACATTTACATCTTAGGATTCCTGACGGTAAATCACTAAGACTTCGAAACTAATTATGCAAATGCTTTCAATGCTAGGGTTCCTCACTATAATCATACGGTTTAGGGTTTATGGTCTAGGGTTTAAGAGGTTTCGGGTTTAAGGCTTAGGGGCCTCAAAGACCCTGGTTTAATCATTAAGGCCTCATATCAGGTTTGACAGAACTTGTAACCCTGAAGCAGAAAACTATGAACCCTGAGCCCGTCCCCCCCCCCCTAAACGGCTGAGGGGGTCTAGGATTAAAAGTTTAGGGTTTAGGGTTGAGGGCTGGCTGACGGCGCTTAGGGCTCCAAGTTTGTGTGTGGCTGTGGCTTTTTTGTGACTTGGCCCTGCATCGCTACATGACGAAGGTGTGCCATCCTATGCCCGGGCTAAAAGGGGCCTCATAGGGTTTTGGGATGAACCCCAAAATAATATAGGTAATTATTAAGACCCCTACATTACCGTTCTGGGTGAGTCAAGTTTGTGCTCTTCGCCACGCCATTTTGTGCCTACCCAGCATGGGCCTTTCTTAGTTTGATACATCCCAAGCCACGTCTTCACAGCTTTAAGCCGCCCTAAAACTCTACCAGCCCTGAACGCCTAGCAACCCCAAACCCTCACGCCGCGCCTTGGTAGACCCTAAGCCTTTAAACCCTAGACACTAAACCCTAAACCCTAGACCCTAAACCCTAAACCCTAGACCCTAAACCCTAAACCCTAGACCCTAAACCCTAAACCCTAAACCCTAAACCCTAAACCCTAAACCCGAAGCCCTAAACCTGGAACCCTTG